GAGGAGGAGGAGGATATGAAAAACAACCCGATGGATTTTTAACCACTCCACAGGCCAGCTGCTAGGTTATTTTATAAATAAATCAATCTCAGCGCAGATAACAACAAATCACCCCTAAAATACTCAGTATAATAAAGTTCGCCATAAATATTATCGCCCAGAGAAATAAAGCGATGGTTAAACCACCCCTCCTGTCATTACATCAAAGAGAAGTAAAGACGGAAATAAACCATATACATATAAATTATTTTTTCCCGCCGAGACCACACAAACCGTAAAAGTTTGTTCAAATCATTCGTGCTGCCATGATGAGTGCGTGATTGGGATTTGTTTAAACTCTGCCTCCATCGCTTAAATCAACTGGCGACTTTGTTTCTCCATGCTTTGGGATATGGAGATTGTATACATGTCTGTAAAGGGATTAATATTCAAAAAATTTTGAATTTTTTGGTAATTTGACAGCTCCTCAAGTCTTTCCTGATGTAGAAAGAATGCATAATATCAGGGCAGAAGACGTTTTCCCCACGTGCAGTAGGGCTGGGTGGTGGACTGCTTGGCATGGTTTGAAGGCCATACCGCCTGGCCGAAGTACGAAGGCGGAGCATTAAGTGCTCGCGTAGCTGGGACGCAGCGTTAAACAAGCAGTCAAGATTTTACATAGCCTGCCCTCCACTTTCGAGCGTTGTCTCCGGTGCTCCTACCGGCTAATCTCCCACGTGGGTCATCACAATGTAGTTGGTGATGTGAGAAGGACACCCAAGAACTAGTTGCTCCAGTCATCGAATTTGCGTAGAACAGAGAAGCTATTTGACTAAAACGCCACAGATCCTTCATGGTGATTCCACCTGATCTGGATTTTCATCCCGTTTGGGAAATGTTTAGGTGACAAAGGGGAATGTGCCGGCCATCTCGAATATCCATTGCCAGTCATGAGATCCCTTGCCAAAAAGCAGAGTCATGTAATAAAGGACGAAGGCTCAAAGTACTTTCGTAAAGACAAGGTTTCGCATTCATTTC